TAGCATCTGCTTGCTGTACAACTTTACGTGGGGTGTAACTAGACCATTTCCCTGTCCACGGCAAGTTCCCTTGCCTACTATTAATGGTAATAAGCATATACTGTACACAAGTGCACATTCAGAAAAATATTTATGTAGGTCTATTCCGCCCATCGGAGTGAGTCATGCGGTGTGTGGAGCACCTCTGCCTAGCTCTGGCAATCCAGATGCAACGGGATTGGACAGGATGAGTTGCTCGCAACTTCCTATGGCCGCGTGAAAGTTGTTCATACTTATACATACATGTGATATTATTGATATATTATTATTTGAACTTACTTTTGTAGAGGAATTTCGAGTAATCACAATCCATGATGTTGTGGATACAGTTGGATAAATTATATATCTCGATTTGATTGCAGTTTTAGTTTTTCCAGCTTGTGTATGTTGAGTGGCATAGGCATATGATTCTCGACGCCGCTTTCATTTAACTGAGTAAGTATTCTGACAGCTTTACTCACTTAATTGATCACATCACACATTGCATTAATATTCACTTCATCACCTTTAGCGTCGGCTTTCAGCGCAAGGCCTTTTTCTCATCTATCCGTACGTTGTTGCTTGTTACTTGTACTTTGACCTTACTTTTGTTTTTGTTTTTACCACCGCTTTACGCTTTCGATGAAGAAACACAAAAGTTACAACCATGCACAAGATACAAATTGTAGTAAGTATAGTAGAACCAAGAACAGCCCAAAAACAATTCAATAAACACATGGAATCAAAGCTGTTGCTGTTGCTGTTGGCATTGGCCCTTTGCCGCCGGGGAAAGCGATGCCGTAACGTACTCAAGTGGTGAAAACGTATCAAAGTCTTATGAACCTTCGTGAGGGAACTTTTCAAGTTTTAGATGGACTGTTATCGGTATTCTTTTCGTTCCTATGATAACACTTGTTGCAAACTGAAGGTAAAGACAGCAACTACGATTACGATTGAATCTGGTACTGGGACTGAGAGTCTTGGATAAGGGAATGCCGTGCCGAGATCACCACTATGCAAATAGTCTCGACTGTCTCTGAAGCCGCTTGTTATGAATTGGTATGATTTGTTGCTTTTGAAATTAAACACCACTTGGAAATCATGTATACCATCAGATGTTCAGGTTTTCAGGGCCATTTACATATTTATCTTGTTTTTACTTTCCTATGCACATATGCATGTATGCATGAATGTACATATGTACATATAATTCACTGTGTGTCAACGAAAAAGTTCTGTGGCGGTTACTCTTGGTTCCAGTGCTAAGACAGCACAATTATCCGCAAGTTAAAAATGTTTCAATGCACTTTATTTTTACACATGTATGTTTGCACGTTTCTGAATACGTATAGGTGCAGTTGCATTAATTTACATACATACATGCATACATATGTACATCTTGTATCTTGTGCTTTGTATTTTGCTTTGCCTTTGCTTGTGGTGTGGGTGTATCGTAGCGTTCACACATATGTATGTATGTATGTACATAACAGCTGTCGCTGTCTGTTGCTTTACCGTTTGAAGCTACATAGCTATAAGTAGCTTACATTCACATTTACATACATGCATGCATATATATTTACTTCTCGGCGAACGCCGTGTAATGTCTGCCTCCTTGAATAGAATAGAGGAAATCGAACGGTAATAGCAACTAGGTACATACATAGATACATACATATGTGCATATGCACATGTATTTGATAAGATGATTACTCAGCAAAAGCACATTGTCAAAAGAAGCGCACAATTTTGGGGGAGATTTTGTTTGGTTTAGCTTCGGTCTCAGTTTCGGTTTCGTTTGGATTGCAAAAGCGATGAGTGCAACAGTTGGGCATTAGCCGACGTGCAACCTTTTTGCACTTCTTTCAAAACTGTCATATACTTATGTACACGAAAAAATAAAATAAAAAATTAGTATGCGAAGAAGCGCGCGGGTTCAGTGGACCAAAAACAAATACGGATTATAACACGTCCACACGCACATAGACGAATTGGACGCCATGCACCAGAACAGACATACGTATGTATGTACGTACATTTGCAATGCAATTATAATTTGCTTTCTCGCGCCGACGTCACCCCGTCACCGTTCTGCCATATCTTGATGTCTTGCGAATTTAACTAAATTTCGTTTGCCTGGCAGGCACCCCGCCGGTCCACAAGTCGCCACACGCTCGCGTAGTTTGTATGCGATTTATTGGGGAAATATAGATATGATTTTCTTGAGCTTTTTGCTCTTATTGCCTCGACGGACGGCTGCAATGTTGGACGACTTGTACTCGTCCTCGCGTCGTTCTATTCCCGACCATCAAGCGGTCCGGTCCGGCCCGATACGAAAACGACCAACAATAGGCGAGCCCGTTGAAGTTGGGTGGTAATTGAACTCGTACTTCACGCACTGCAGACCGTTTTTGTTCACTTTGCAATGAAATATGTATGTACATATGTATGTATGCGTGTGTATATATTTATATGACTCGGTTTTTAATATTAATTATTTTTAAATACGTCTTGAACGAGCATTCGCTTACAAAATGACACCAACAAGAGACGGTATAAACAAAACTAACAATACGAAATTAGCTCAAAATGTATTTCAGGCAAAATTAAAACAGCAAAAGCGCTCATTGAGCATGCCACGGCCCGACCGACCGACCTGCCGATTCAGCGAGAGACCGAACGAACGAAAAAGTGAACGAGCGAGCGAGCTGGCGAAAACTGGTGCCACTTGGACTGTTTCAGGGAGGAGAGAGACAAACGATTCCCAGTCCCAAGAGATTATTGGATACGCGTGGGACACACAAGCGCACCACACACACGTTGACAGAAACAACACGGCAAGTTGTCTCTCCCATACTGTATATACGTACATGCATACATTCGGTTGAGAGCTGTGCTTTGAGAGAAATAGCCCTGAGAGACAGCGCATGCGAGAGTGAGTGCCCAAGAGTCGCATGAATCAGCTTCCGCTGTTGTGACTTTGTTGTTGGCCGGCAGCGAGTTCTGCTCAAACACGTGCCATGCCGAATCGAACCGAGCGTTACCGACTAGAATTGAGTTGAATTTGTTGATGGAGCACAAGTATAAGAGACAGCAGAACTTTTGATTGTTAGTATGTATATATGTACATACATATGCATGTATTTATGCATGAGTAAGGGCCATGCCTGTAGCATGTTTATAAGGGCCACCTGATTACTTACATTTGAACTCTCAATTTTATTACTGCTAAATTGTTTCTACTAAAAATTAGATAATCCCAAAATTTATGCCATTTCATTTGAGTAATCGACATTTAAGAATTATGGTCATGAAAACAAAAGATAGGAGCTTCGCAGATATGATGTTTCTTCAGTTTTTCCTTTCGTCTATTGAAGTACATAGTATGAATATACATACAGCTGTGTTCAATGAAATAGTAGTGCCGCACCTCCACTTTCAAAAACATTTTTGAAAAACTTTCCGTCTTTCAACTTAGGCAACTGACACCTTTTAAAATAAACTGTAATGAATTAGAATTAGAAATTAGAATTTCGGGAAAATATTTAGCTGTAATAAATAGGAATCGGTAAAAATATATTTGTTCGAAATACTTTATTTTGCTGTTCTTTTGTTTGGTTCATATTTTTTTCAAATCTTCTCAAATTAGTAGGATTTTATAATGGATTGGTACGCAATGATGTCCCCTTGGCTTTGTAGCTTCTACCGTTGCAACGCGTTGGCATGTATGTATGTATGTGTGTGCGTGCATATGGACGCACGAATTCACACTCATGGGGTTTCTCTCAATAAGTCCTGATAAGTTTTAGTTGTCACTGAGAGCACTGCGAGAGACTTGAGTCTGTCGGTAAATTGCGCCGGGAAATTGAGTACATCACACTGTGGGGGGAAAACACCCTTTGCATTAATCATTTCAATCATTTTAAAAACGAAAAATTTGCCTAAAGAATTTTAGCAGCATATTTAATTTGCCTTTAATTCTTAAGCTCTTAAGAAATTAATTAATAGAAGCGTATTGCTCAAAGTAGCTCCTGTTTTAGACCTTTCTCACATAAAACTAGTCAAAACTATTTAATAACGAAACTATAATGATGTAGTTAAAGTATATGTAAATGTGTATGTAACTAGATAATAGAATATATAAAATAGGCAAGAGAATGAGCAAAAATATTCATAGCTGCTGGACGGGGTGGGGGGTAGCCACGGCAAATGAATTTCTTCATTCTGGCTATAATAGTCCAATAACTTATTTCGATAGCTAACATATCGATAAGAATCGTGACATATTAAATAAGCAAAGCCAAATACATACGATATCATGAAATTATTATCTCAATCCTTTGGTTTTACCAAAAAGTATTTAAATTTTACGTTACTGTCTTTTGTTGCTAGGAGCGAAGCCAACTGTGATAGCTTACAAGACAATTGGATTAACGTCGCAATGGGAAAAGCCTGCCAGACTGCCTATCAGCTGATCTAAGATCTAATAAGACAGTGCCGGCTAAAATACGTCTGAGGAAGGAAACGGTTGAAAATTCATACAGTATTTAAGCAAACATACTAAAGGGTCAAGTACTCGTCCTTTGAGGCTTTATAGATAAATGAAAATATGTACAATATATTTGAATTTGTAAAATGTTTATTTACTTTGAATGCCAATTTAATGTTGCCAAAGACAGACCCGGCTGGGCTGTTAACCCAACCCAACTCACTCATTTAAAATACTCACAGTTATGGAAAACCAACCCTTCTTGGTACTTGGGTTTGCTCACACCTATGGTCACACTAAGCCAATTGGAAAATATATTGCACATTTTTCGAGCAAAATTGTTTTCAGAACTGAGTACTGTAATAGGCTTTAGTAGTCTTAGGCTAAAACAATGCATAAATTCACTCAAACTTTAAACAATAGTTTCGTCGATATATGTTTTCAAAGTAAAAAATATATAATCGATATATCGATATAATGGTATCTTTATATTGAACATCTCTATTGAACACAACTATTTATTTTTGATAATGAATTTCATTGCAAAATTAAGTGTGCTGCCCTGCCCCTGCCTGTGAGAGAATATAAACATAACACATCAGTTTCTGCTACTGTCGACAATACAGTTGGAAATGCAACCAATCTTTAACGACGCAGCGCGACTATAGAATTGAAAAAAATGAAGCGAAATTTGGAGTGTATGTTTGGATAAAAACAAACGTTTACATCGTACTAACGTTGTTTATTTTTGTATTTGTATAGTCAACAATATGTCTAATATGGAGCTGCAGGAATGGACGACTAGTATCCTGGGCGAAGCTCAGTGCGAAAATGAAATGAATCAAAATCTTGAGTCGACCTCCATCGCTAGGATGTCACATTTTGAGCGAAATGCCATCGATGCAGCTATTGCCTGCCACGGACTTTTCATAGATAATGATGATGAAGAGAAGCCGCCTCCAGTTCGTCGACAGCGCCTGTGGCTGCCGCAGTCTACATTGAGCAACGAAACAGCGCACAGAAACAACGGAAATGTTGTTTCAGACTTTAACGAAGCTGTTATATTGGAGACCATTGACAGTCTCGGTCTACGCAGGAGACCTTAAGTAAGGTTTCAGGATTTTACAACACACATCCATATGATATTGTGTAAAAATTATTGTTAATTATGCTTAAAAACTAACGAATGCTAATTTTCCTTATTTTCAAGCTTTCAAGTTGACAATTAATTTATAAGTCTAGTTTTTACATTTGTATGGCCTTCGGGTTTCCGTACTAAATTCAAGTCGATTTCCGTTATATCTCTCTCTGCCCAGCAAAGTCCCATCCAGCCGCTATATTCTGCCTACTCTGCCAGGGGGCGCCACTGGACGAGAAAGAGTGTGATAAAGACAGAAATATCACCTGGCAGGGTGTCAGAAACGGTAAATGGTTTTCCTTAATGCTGGCTACATTAGTGATTCAAAATACTCGAGCACATTTATTGAAACTTAAGAACCCTATGTACATATACATACTTAATGTATGTTTGAATAATCCAAGTTGATGTAGTGCTCGGATTTAAAGACCTGAAAGTGACCAAAGTGGGCAAAGTGCGTGCTCCAGTTGGATAAATCGAAAATGTTATAATTGATTTTTTTTTTACTTTGATAAAGCATCACATTATTTATTTGGCAAAGTAAACATAAACAACAAATTGACTAAAATTGCACTTATTATACGAACTATAGAAATGGAATTGTCAGGGCTATTCATATAAATAGGACGAGTATGAAAATAAAGGTTTATATTTTCTCACGAAAGTGAAAATGGAACTGCTAGATTATACATTTATATAGTAATATGGTATATTACCTTTAATACGCTTTTCATTACACAAAGAAACGTTTTCCCGTTTCTACTTCTTGCGTCGATAACTTCAGCACGTCCGTCGGAGGGGAAAAAGAGTGGTGGAAACAGGAGGAATATATGAAAAATAGGGAGGGAAAGACAGTGACCAGCTGTTTCCGTTTCAGTCACTTTGCTGCATCTGTTGGGGTGTGTACCAAGCACCTTTTGCTACAGCATAACAGGTGAGTAATTCAAAAATGTTTGTGTATAAATATTGATGGATTTACATAGTTCAGCGTTGTTGTGATCACGATTTAACTTAGTTATCACCGTTTGGAGCTTCAGCGTCATTATTAGATGGAGCTTCTTGCCTGGATCTGGCTTCGCCACCAGATTCGTGCATTAACCGGCGATATTGATGTAGGCTGGCCAAAATTCGTATCATTATCTGGGCAGGCACGGTTATAGTGTCGCGGGTCTCCACTAACATAATCTCATTGCTCTTTATAAGCTGTAAAGAGTAAACATTAAATGTGACATTTACTGGCTTGTCAATGTCGGTGAAATCAACCACACGTACTCCGGCGGTTTCGGTATCGTCGAAATGGGGAACAGGAGCTATTGGGGCCCACACCTTCACATTGTAGTCGATGCCGGAGCTAAGAAGGTAGGGGAGCGTGGGATGTGGTTGAACACGATTGACTACACGATTATCTGCCAGAAGCGTCTTGACCACTTTTCCGGTCCGTCGATTCCAAACGAATATATGGCCACAGTCGGAACCCGACATTATAAAGTCGTCACCCCAGAAGCAAGCGCCCTTTACCATTGTCCTTGAGTTGCGGTGCCCACTGAATGCCATTTTCACGTAATCAAAATTGCGAATGGGAAACGTTTGTCCATCCTCAGCTGATATGCCCTCCTTGTACTCGTTTTTGGGCTCTTTTGTTCCGCCTGTGCTCTCGGGACTGCCTTCAGTTCCTTTTTAAAAAAGATATAAATTATGCGTGCCCAAGAAATGTCCCACTTACCAGAACCAGAATTGGCAGAAATGTTTGGCGCATCCGATTCGTGGATCATATTTTCATAAATGGTGTCCTGAGCTCTGGCAAGAAGTGTGTTATTTAAATCGCGGTTGGATGTTGCAGCTTCGGTATTCCCTTCCGTCCTCTGCGCGGGCAATGGATCCGTCTGGCTGCTGGTTGGCTCTGCATTTGACTCGGCTGCTTGGGAAGTTTGACGCATTTGACGACTGGGCGAATTGAGCATGCGAAAGATTTCGTCACTAAGTCGACTAAGTACCCCAGGTTCCAGGGGTGGACGAGCCTGGCCCACATTGGGACCGTTGAAACCCTGCTCGGCAATGGCCTGTGAGTTTGGCCCAGTGTCTGACCAATCGCCACGAAAGCGAAGACGCGGCATTTGCGGATCGGGATCATCTTCACGGCGCATCTTTGGCGTATAACAGCCGCTCTTCAACAGACCTGCATCGTTATATCCGGGGTGTTTCAGATCAAACAGATAAATCTGCTCCATTGAGTAACTGACCAGAAGCTCCGATTCGTTCATATTAAACTTAACGCAGGTCGGGCGATAGTGACGCCGCGTGTATTCCATCGGTATGGGGTAGGCCTTAAGCGGTATTGTTGAGCCCACCGACACAGATGCAGATTCTGCATTTGCCAGCATGCGCCTGTCGTATATACGAATTATCGAGTCTGAACAGCCGATGGCCAGATTGTTGTGATTAAATGGAGCCACGTCCATGGCTGTCACGGCACAGGGCGCCATTATGAGGATGTGCTTTTGGCACATACGCTTGGAGCAGCTACTCGATTGGCGAAGATCGAAGCAGCGTACAGTTGCATCTTCTCCGCAACTGAGAAAGGAGCGCGGTGCATCGGGTAATGGCAAAACATCGAAGGTGCTCCCAAAGGTGTGACAATCAAAAACGTTCGCGATTCGGCTGTTCTCTCCAACTAGAGGGTCTTCTGTCTTTGCGCAGTTTTCGGAGCTATATGGAATCAGGAACTCAGTGTGAATGACTAGACCTTCGCCAGAGCAGGAAACGACACTCTGGTCGTTGCTGTGTGGCATGAAGCGAGCACTGAAAATATGACGCTTATGCTGGGTCTTGCTCTTGAGTGCCACCCGACCGCTCTTGGCCTCAGTAATGACCAAATGGTTGTCATCGGAGCCAGATACAATATGCGTTCCGCTTGCATTCCAGTTCACTGTGTTCACGCAGCCATTATGTACGTTTAGCGTTTGCAGCAGGTCTAGGCGCTGCACAAAGCTCAAGGAATCTGTAAGTGGTGATCGAGACATGTTTATTTACATTTGTGATGCCGTTATTTAAGCTTTTTGTCTCACTTTTGCAACTGGCCTGCAAATTGGCCTGGGCACTGCCAGCCCCATTATATGGATAGTTTTCGAGGCTCTGGTGTACACTGTGGCGGAGTTCTGCTGCTGTTTTTTTGTACATTGTCGATACTGGTCGTCACTGAAATGGAACGGCGTACATAATGTACTAACATATGTATGTATGTTTTTATTTTTTAATTTATTTTGCCAGGCTATAATAAACTATATACAAAGGCGAAGAGCTGACGAAAGTTGCGCAATTACCAATACCCTCTGCAAGAGTATAAACGAAATAAAATGTACGTGCATACATGTACGTATGCATGCTTGTACATATGTACATACATACGAGTATTGTTTGGCCAAGGGGCCCGGTGCGATATGTGCATGCATGGATAATCTGATGTGGTACGTTCGAATATGTATAATATATAATTAGACAAATATGCAGATAAAAAACGGTCCGATACCAGGAGGACTTTGATGAAACACCTGCGGAGTCACACAGAGAACAATAACTGTTTTACGTTGATATACATTAGAGGCCTTCAACCAAGTGTGTTTGTTCTAATTTGATGTCTAATTAGATTTTGACGATCAACTTGCAACGAATTTGAATTCTATTCAATGTTATATGTATGTAAATACATACATACGTGAAAATACAACCTCTTACACGATTTTAGAAGAGATAAAACTACTTCTTTATCAGGGTTTTAAGATACACATATGTATGTACATATGTTTGTATGTTAAAAGTTGGGCTAAGTTTGACTGGCTTGTAGCGAACAGCTGTTTAATGCTTTCCATGGTATTCGCTGGTAGTTTGCTTGCGGGAGGGAACAAATGGCAAAGGAAAACAAATGAAAACCATGCAGTGTAACCGTACGAAATTTAGTTTACACCTCTGGTTACACTCTGCCGCTGGCAAAATAAATTGCACATTTTGCTACCAAACGAGTTTTCGGATCTGAGCACCAAGCTAAACAGGATATTACATATCCAACCATGAGTACCGTATATGAAGAAACACGATAGCTATCGATTGTACTAATGAGAAATTATCGAAAGAACGGAAATTGTAAACATACAAATCATTAGTCTTTGTTTGTATCTTTTCTAAATTACAATTGTATTTCGGCAAGACGTTTTGATTCTTCGCCATCATGAGCTGCTTTGGCTGCAGCCGCAAATATGGATTATTCAGCAAAGAGGCAAGAACTGAATATTTACTTCACAGTCTAGATTCTTGACCAAAATTATTGTGTATTTTTAGTATGGGTGTCCCAACTGCGGCTTCTCCTACTGCTCCAAGTGTCTGAAGCGGCCAATGCCAGTACCTCGGTTCGCAGGAAAGGTGTTGAACGTCTGCTTAATTTGCTACGATAAACTGTCCAAACTGCAGACTAATGTCGATCAGGATAAAGTCATTGACTGCGATGCATTGCCGGGGGAACTTGTTACCAAAATGCGCCTGCCAAACCCCTTAAATGGCTCCACCCGGTTGGAACTCGACAAGGCAGACGAACTCTTCGAGTAAGTACAAGCATATGCACATACATATATCCATATATACACACATAGACGTATGCAATCCCAATGATAAGCTACCGCTACCTTTTACTGCAGCAATGTTTCGCCGCCGGAGGAACTGGCAGTCGTAATGGCGCCCATAAGCCCTAAAGCTCATTCCACAAATGAAGATATTGACGAAAATTTGGATAGTGCCATGGCAAAACGATTGCAGAATCTTAGAAATGTTGATGCAACAGACGATGAAATTCGGGAGCGTCTTTCCAACATAAGCGGCATTCCGCATCACAAGAACTACGACAAAAAGGACATTCTGCTTTCCACGGACCAAAGAAGTGACCAGGACAAAATCAAAGATTTGCTGCATCAGTTCATGGACGAAACAGAGCTGGACCAAAAAGTTGACAACCAACGTAACGATGCAATCTCCGACATTGAACGACGTTTGCGTGCACTGCGGGATAACCCAATCGGTGATGAAGCAGGCGGGGCTGGCGGTGCAGAGCTTTCGACTTTACATACTCCCAGCGATAACGAGGATGATGAAAAGACCTTAACAAATATAATTAAAAAGGTTAACTTGAATTTTCTATTATATTTGTATAATTACCAACATATTTAACACATCATTTAACAGTACGTTGCAGAATCAAGTCTACCAACTGAGAACAGTGGCCGTGATGATGGCGTCGAGGGTGATATGGCCACAGCATACAATAGCAATACTGAGGAGCTGCCCTGGTGTCATATTTGTAACGAGGATGCAGTCTTCCGTTGCCGCGGATGCGATGGCGACTTGTTCTGCTCCCAGTGCTATAGAGAGTACCACGACGATGATGAAGAGTATCGAGCGCATGTTAAAGTCAAGTATGATTTTCCGCCTAAATTTACTGAAAACCACTTCTAGTTCGCTGTTTTGGTGCATTGTTTTTTATGTTTAAGTTTATTTTCACTGCTAAGAATCAAACAAATGTTGCAAAAGCAATAAATATTAATCAAAATCGACAACCGAAATGCCCATTTTATCGAGATATTTAGACACTAAGTGCTCTGCAGAGTACTTTTCAAATGTAAATGACTCGAAGAATTGAACGCGGTGCCTGCGGAAATGTTCTGGACTGCGGCACCAATTGTAAAGCATTTTTATCAGAGACTTTTTCGTGCTGTACAAATTTTGCTTTGGATAGATTTCGGGGTATACCAGCCTATTAGGGGCAATGGGGTAGCAACCGCAGTAGGTAGCTTCTAGCATGGACACACCGTAGAACTCATGGCTTGCCGTCGATATGACTATGTCTCCGGCAAGCAACGACTTTATGTACTCTTCCCGCGATAGGTGCCCGTAGTTAATGAGCTTGGACCCCAGTTTTTCCCGAATTCCCTCAAAAGCCTTTGGCACTTCTTGGTAGCTCTCGCCACAGATGGTAACCTTGAAGTTTGCCTGCCGATTGCTCAACTCGAGAAGGACCTCAACCAGCAGATCTGGGTTTTTGTCGTGCTCCCAACGATGGGGCCAAATTAAATGCAAGCAATCTTGGCCAAGGTTAACATCCGCATTAAGTTTCACATCCACAATGCGACGATTGTTGGTTAAGGCATTAAATTTAATGGGGAAGTAAAGCACCTCACACTTATTTTCAATTTTCTCTCGAATGTTCTTCAGCTTGAAATCCGGCGGAACATTAAGAAAGGGCTGCACGTTGTCCAGAAAAGATGTGCGATTAAAGTTGGAATTAAAGAGTACTATGTCTGCGGCCAAACTGAAAGATGGAAATCACATTATACATAATTACTGCAGAGCAAAACCCCCTGATTAGTTTACCAGGAGAGTATCTCGTTGAAGCCGTACTGGCAGTCGCGCGTTTTCACTTCGCGCACAGGATACACGAGCTGATTTTCATGAAAGTAGACAATCTTTCGACATGCTATCAGGTCGGGACGTACACCTATTAGCTCAGACAAACTAAGAACTGAGCTCGTGAAGAGCACTTTGTAATTGTGATCGGAGGGAATAAGCTGCGAAAAGTAGAGTGCAGAGGTGCGGGCTCGCCAGTGCCACTTTTTTGCCGGTAGGCTGAAAAGTTCATAGTTGGTTAGATTCAGGCCTGCGGTGGTTACGGTAAATATCAGATAGGGGCTGATGGATAAATCTATGTATGAAACGTACACTCCACCAACGTGTCTATTAGCTGCTTATGGCTTCCGCCATAAAATGGCTCTATTATTAATATCTGCGGCTTGACTGAAGACATGTCCAAGCTGCAGGTGGCACAAGGTTAGGTTAATGTTGGTACATATAAATATGTACATGAATATAATGTATGTTACATATATGTATACATATGCATATGAATGTATATTAGTTTTCTTCTCTCAGTGACAATCGATGTTTTTTAACGAATTGATCGATAGTTAAAAATATAGTTGTATCCACCTTTCTCTCCTATAGCCACTAGTTATGCAGTACATACATGGGAAATTTAGCGCACCTGAGTCCTAGGCTTTGTGAATGCCAATGATATATGGTAGTACATCCAGATCCAGATCCAAATACAAAACCTTTATGGAATCGCATGCACCCTGTTTAGTGGGTGCGCAGTTGCAATCGTCAAGCGACTGCTGAAGTTACCTTATTCATGCGTTGACAGGAATACCGTCAATATTATTTACATATCAGAGCGCTCGGTGTGAATGGCTACTACTTTAATAATATCGATATCGAGCATACCACCCAGTCTTCACGCTGATAGCTGAAATTTTATTTCTCTAATAAGAGTCTTTTGCATAAACAATATATCAAAATGACTAACGCCTGGAGAGCCGCTGGAATCACGTAGGGATCCTTGAGTTGCACGCTAAAAAGCAGATGCTTTTCAGTTGCGGCTTACTGTTTTATATCTGAATTGTACATCTTACGTAATTGTTTGATATTTTTCCAAATTGCAGCTACATCCAATACTCGAACATTGCAGCCCGAGTCCTGCGTGAAGCCTTGCGCACGGAGCTGCGTGCAGATGCTGCCAAGCGTGATGCAAGCCATGTGAAGTTCACTCCATGGGCCAACGGCAAGCCAGCTCGTAAGTATTCTCCCACATTTGCAGGCTCTGCAATTTCAGATATTGACGGGACCGCTCGAAACGGCTACTAGAATTACATAATGTAAAGCTATTCGGCAAAGGTAGAACTTGCTGGAGTTGCCCCAATAGACGGGTTATATCAGAAGGGCATCTTACACATTTTGTTGTATTTTTATGTCTATTATTACAGACGAAAAGCTTTAAGTTCGACCAATTTTGGCGCTAGAGACAGGTGGGAGTCAACCCCGAACCCCCAAATAAATGTTTCTTGTTGAATATGTGTAAATCATTTCACTAACATCTAACTTTAAAGTTCAAACAATTTGCGAATTTTGCAATCTAATATACCTTCTCCTCCCATTCCCTTTGGATGTCTAACACAAGTTCGCTGTGACCCCACAAAAGAAGAGTTTAACTAACTGCCACTCGATATGGCACATTTTTGTATGTTAAAATTGCTTTAACTCTTGTTCTCTTTTCGTGCAGCTCGCCAAACTCAGTCGGAATCCTAGAGGACTAGAGGATCAGAAGTACCGATTTGTGAGAGCTGCGGATTCCATAATTCAATTTAAAAATGTACATCAAACTGAAATGTGTTGAATTAAACTATTGAGAAAAGAAAGAAAACAATCTCACTTTCAATGTATAACTTTATTTAACTAAACAATATCAAAACCATAGAAATATTTGTCCGAATCGATCATGTAGAGGCAACGAAAGAGAAGCAACAACAGCCAGCACACATTATATGCAGGAAGACTACTGTTTCTCCTTCTCAATGTTGTAGAAATGTGGCCAGGACTGTATCTCCTCATACAAGCGCCGGCCTGGGCTTTCCGTTGAGTTGCATTGGCAGTGGCAGATGAGTCGATAATCGGGTGCAATGTGGCCATCCTCCACACCGCGGGCCAAAAGATTGCGGCACATGTTCATGGCATCCAGAGTAGGCAATTCTCGCATGAAGCAACCGATGAAACTGATGCCCAATGCGATTCTGTTGTATCCCAATGTGTGCGCACCCACAGCATGCCAGCCGCGTCCCTCGTAGATGTTGCCATCACAACCAATTAAAAAGTTATAAGCAATGTCATTCCATCTCCGCGACTCGATGTGAAAGCACTGAAAATGTGATCAAAAAACACATAACATATTATTATTGCTACAATATTTTGTATTAGAGTTATTATCAAAATTATTAGCAATTTGTAAGCATTTGTAAGCGAACCAATTGGTTTTTTTCTAGTACTGAATTTTTGTGGTACAGTGAAGACAGCTGTCAGCTACTAGCTGAAGTTCTTGATTTACGAAACGTTTCGAAAAGAGATAGAGCTCATTTCTATATTCGCTCAAGCAAATATGAATTAGAATTAGAATTTATCTTTTGTTGCCGATTTAAACATCGTTTCGAGCGAAACAACGACACAAGTATCTTTGGTACGCTTGTGCGTTTTCAAGGCCGTCAAACACGAAACTAAAACATAAGTAACGACAGTGTTCGCCTGTTAATGGCCACCTTTATACGCTATTTTATGTTGCGCTGCTGTGTTTTTGTTAAGCCCTTATTCTATGTTCATATCGTTAACATTCCTAGACATCATTAACTTTGTTGTGCGCCCGTAGAACTCACCTGCATGTCGCGGATAAGTCGCACATTGATGGCGCGCTTCTCGGAACTCTCAGTGGCCGTGTGTACTGTTTGGAAGTTGTATTTAATGTAATAGGTGTACATGCGACAGTTCATATAACGAGTGGCTTACAAATGACAACATATTTAACTGGTCGCTGGAGTACCTCTGGCTTGTCCATTGGGGTTTGGGCCAGCCAGGAATGTCGAGGAATAATGGAACACAGCTCCTTTGGTATTTTGAACTCTGCAAATGATACACATATGTAGTTATGCTGAACTGTGGAAGTGAATGAGAAAGTCTACTTTGGCTATTGATGAATACATCTGAGCAAACTTGCTCCTCGGATTCGTCTTCGTGGTTATGGTTACTGTTTGGTTCAATGTCCGGCACTGGAGCGTCAGTGAGCGATGTTTTTCGACGCTCGTGTCGAGCACGACCCAAGCTGTTGGCTATTATCTGTATGTTGCCATTGATGTTGGTCACATTACCAATATGCACATTTGTGGAGTTACTGATGTTCACATTTCCCACTGTTTGAATGCTGTTGATAGAGTTCATCAGGTCGCGTAGAGTGTCACTGATGTTGGAACGCTTGTTCGCAGCTGTTTGATGATATTTCTAGTCAGTTAATTGTGCAGAGCGACCATTTAAGATGGTCATTTGAGAATCTACTCACTGATGGGAGTGCCCAATGTCATGGTACTGATTTCCTCTCCTGTATTTTGATTATCATCGTCATCATCATTAGTTTCATCCAGGGTGTACTCGCTGTATTCATAGTCTAGGCTGTCTACCACCGATGATTCGGCAATTGATTCAACCTCATCATCATCTGGTGCAGCCTGTGCTGCCAGCCATTGCCGGGTGCGTTCCTCACTGATTGACCTGGACGCAGTGGATATAGGTACGTTGGACATAGCTTTAAGTCTTCCTTGTTTTCCTGTAAATTATGCACAAGTGATGTTCCTCTTTTAGTTTATCAATACTATGTACTTAAAATATATACGCTTCTTCGATAAGTTTCGACTGTCGTCCCGTGTCCATTTTTATGATAAGATAAGGACTCACCTCGCCCTGCACACCATTATGTGGTCCGATTTAATTATATGAGGCACAGAGATAGCAGGATTTTTATGTAAACAAGGCGCTAACTAAAAATACCATAATCTGTATGGGTAAATAGTTCAATACGCCCGCTGGAACAATAACGATAACTTACCCAATAATGGTACTCATGAAATCACTTTTGTTTTGAAACTGCATTTAATGCATTTAATATGTAAAACAAATAATTTAGAGTTATTTTTTGTTGTTGTTTTAATCAGCTGTTCTCAAGTCGCACGTCTTACCTATCGACAGTTCGGTTTACTTAAAAATTTGACTGATATTCGTCTGAGACCGATAATACCTTTTTTTTGAGCACAAACTATTTATGTTCTATATTCCACCAGGGTAATTAGTAAAAAGAACGATTTAGAATTAAGGCACTTAATTAAGAACCAATTTCAGAAGTACCATTAAGGGTTTCATTATAAAAATCAGCCTAGTCGTTTGTCAAAATTGTTTGTCTCTTTTCGATTTTTTTTCACTTCAGCTCTAGTAACTGAAATACTGAAAGTACGAAACACAAACGCCAAGATGCAGTTTTTTTAGTTTTAATGGATTAAATGGTCAACGACACCAACAGCTGATTTATATTAGGAAAACTGTTGTTTGAGAGTTTGACTTATCGTTTCTTTGCTGCTTTAAATCATACTTCACACACTGAATGCTATTCCTGAAGGTCGTTACCTTAGTTAAATCAATTGAAGAATAGTGTAATACGACCATTATGAAATTCGATAAGTCAATTATCGTTAAGTCTAATATCGAGGAGAAAACTAATCGCCATTCGATGTCATAACATAACCTCGAGCAGCAACAATTAATGAATTATTAAATTGTAACACAAACGAAACCTAGGGGCCTGCCAATATGTTAAAGTTAAGTCGTGTGAATCAGTTGCGTGCTTCGTCTCTAAGATTTTTGGCCGCGCAGCCTCAAGCACAAGTCGAGGCAGCGTCTGGGTCTGGGACAAGCAATGAAATCAGTCCCGAACCAGAGTATCCACCAATTCGGGACCTGACATACAAGGCGGTCAAGCGCAGAGAAGCTGGCGATTGGCATGAAGAAATACGTAAAGTACCGACCGTAGAAGAAAAGCTAATTAAAGTGAACATGCCTCGTTATTATGGATACAAAGTGGTCGACTTCAACGACAACAAAATTCCATACAACGCATTGCCGGTAACGCAACATTACACGCGCACAGTGCTGCAAGAGTTGCCGCTACCAACTACCGATGAAGGCCAGAAGTCTGAATCAAGTTTAGATTCTTTCCTACAAGCCGCCCGCAGTGATGTTATTGACGCTCTGGAACTGGCACACGACTTCTACAAGTAAGTAGAAAAACTATTCAATTATTCTAAACTAATTTGAGCTCCCATCAATTCAATGTAGCCACCAGGCGACGCTACCCGACTTTGTGCCCTCTGATGCCGTTACCCGGGAACGCCAGCTGACGCAAATAATTGTAGAGCAGGTTAACAGAGCTTTACAGCAGGTGCTCAGCGCTGATTTTCCGCATCTAAATGATGTCGAGGTGGACTACAATCCGCGGCACGAGGCCTTCTGGGCAGTTGGCGGAGTTGATGCTCCAAAAAATGTGCAAAACTCAAAAAAAGGTCGGGACTGGCAGAAAGACGATGCTAGTGACAGCGTTGACCGATTGGTCCAATACACTGGTTCTCCTTACCTGGCGCTCCGCCATCGTCAGCAGCTGTGTCCATGGATGACCGAAACGGAAAGTGAAAATATAGAACTGGCCCGACAGCTGCCACGCTTTAACCATGATGCCCGTACCTTGGGCTACAGAACCACCTACCAGCATGCAGTTAATGTGCCCGGCTACTGGCCGAGTGCTAGCGGGCCCAACTTTGGTTTACTATCGTTTCAATCGCGAGCTTCCCTCCAGATGCGTCACAAGGCATATGGGGATGCCGACTTTCAGGAAGCTCTAAATGCCCTGGCTATTAAGTCTTCATACGCATGGCTGTTGGCGCAGGCCACTTACAACGGGTTCAATACCTATAACGACCTCACCTACCCCATGAACACCCAAACTGTGATCACAAATGGTCGCGAATGGAGTTTCTACGAGTACCAGCTCAACACGTTGCTTCTGCACGGCAACCAAGTGGACGAAAATCCCCGAGTGAACAGCTGTCGAGGCACACCGCCTCTTCCCCTCTACGCAGAGATATCAGAAAAAGGAAAGTGTGTGGACTTCAATGATGCCACGCTAAAGCAGCTGCTCAGAGTGTATACAAACGTCCCGAAGGTTGAGCGCGCTGCCAACGAGCTCCATCCGTATGTGACAGCTCGCACCACTGACTATGATAATGCACAACAGCGCGATTTTATTGAGAAAACTTTTAAGCATTTGTCTTCAAAGCGACCCCGTCATCTTGAGCTGCCCGAGATTTACTTGTGGGAGAAGTTGTACAAGATTGACCATAAGACTCGCGCCATGGAGGCGAAACGACGCTTCTTTGAGCTGGACATAAACCCATGGCGGCGAACACTTGATACCCACGACAAAGAGTACGTTCCACGGGCGGTGCGACCGGGCGGACGTAAGAATCGCGAAGGTCGTTTTAAGAAAACTTTCTACCCCTAAATGGTTCCAGGAAATTCGAGTATGTTTTTTTTTTTTTCAATAAATCAAACGATTTTTGTTATACAAACCTCGGAAAGAGTCGTATTTATAATCTTGTAGATGATACACAGTCAGACATTTTCAGGGCTTCTATATCACAAGTGCTTGTAAAAGTTTATTCCCGTCGCATGGACTCGTCAGGTTAAAATAAAGAATTGAAAATGTATCTTTAACTTTGTTTAATTTATTTCAAAAATTCTTTCATAAATGTGGGCTCCCCAAGTCTATGAGGCATTTCTTTAATAATTTAATTATAAGCATTGTTCCTTAGCAATATCTTAAAGTATTTAATTAATTAATACTCTGCATCGCCTAACGTTGAAGGCTGCCGGCAGTCCGTGATCCAATGACCTTTTATGTTGTTATTTTCCTTGGGGATGCCCTGAACCAGTCCTTCTTTCAGCTCGTCTCTGCTGCTCATAGGTTTATTTGCGGGGCAAACCTCTCATCAGCTAATCACCTAATCGATTATGGTTTTTATTTGTAGAAAGAAAACATAAATATGCTTTAAAGGACTAAAAGATATCAGTGCCGAGGCAGATATTTTTATTTTGTTTTAGTTAATTCAATATTATAACTTTTATTTATATTATATATAATAATATAAAATTATATTATTAATTTTCACTGCTTAAAACATGATCAATCATTATATTTTGTTATGCATTTATTTTATTTACCAAGTTAACATTGTTTTGCCGTTGAGTAGTTTTTCAATTTAAGAGTTTTCTTATGAGTTAGTTTTAGGTTTCACACCTCTCAATACTTACATTTGTTTATAAAGTCTTAGTGTACATTGTTATCTTTCGGCTGTTTTGTGTGTGCAATTCTCCTGTATTTCATGTTGACTCGCGATTCGATTCGCTTCCTATTTTCATGTAGTCTCCATTTGTTTTTATTGTTTTAAATGGTTTAACTAAGATACTTCACATTTGTATGCATTTGCTGGTATGTATATTGTATATCAGTATTTGTCTTTATTATCGTACAACCATTTATTTTATGTATTTATCATTGTTCATTATATGTATATAATTAATACAAAATAAAGGGAAATAGAAAATTAAGGAAATACAAAGGATCATTGATTTCAAAACTCAAAGCATAGACCCGGGATATTCATTTATTGTCTTTCACCAGAAATTACATATACTCGTTTGTAAGTAATGCTAAAAACTCGTATCCTCTTAAATTCAATTTAAAATATCAGTGAACATATGTGTGTACCTTTCTGCAGACAGAAACTTTCATCTTCACATCTTAATTAATAATAAATTGAAGATTTAATTGAGTCAATTATGGAGCAGTGTAGAAAACAAAATTTGTTTTACATTGAATTACGTACAAACAAGTTTAAATAAAGATCTCAACGTACGTACATACATATTTACATATACATTTGGCACACACGTACAAATATGCATACATATGTCAAATAAAGGTATACAAGTTATGACACGTTCGAGCGCGTCTCACAAGGTTCCTTTTTGTCTACATCTACAGCTGTTTCTTCCATCTCTATGATTCTTCGTTTTCGGGTTTCTCCCAACTTTGAAATTTAAAATGCCACAGATTGCGGTGTGAAATTGTTTAAAAACACGTGAAACACTTTGATATCACAGAAACCTGGATACAATTACGATTCCCTAGCTCTTTCCCTGTGATCTAGGCGACAAATAAGACGGACGGACAGACATACTATATGGAATCAGCCAGATCTGTGCGTTAAACATAAGTATACTTATCCCTAGTCTCTTCGAGTGCCAAGCATATAAATGTAACTGAATTGGGCTAATCAAAATCCCGTACTAATTAAAAAATTCCTGGTTCTATTTTGCCTTCTGACCAGCAGAAACCTTTGCGAAAGACCCATTTTCAGATCTGTATTTTTTTCCCCTTTTGTGTCGTATGCTACACCTCAAATTATATCTAGATATGCGTAGTCTCCACTTTTAAAAAAATTGCCAAGGAAATTTAAGCAGCAGGTAAACTGTACATATGCATGGCATTTTTTTTTTACATATGTATTTATGTATGTCCCTGTATATTTTAAAAATCGTTATGTTTTGATCCAAATTGTGGTTTACATCTACGTATTTAAATCAATTCTGCAGTTAAAGGTGTGTCATTGGCGTTTCCACACCCTTGTGGTTAATGGTTTTGTAAACGCAACAATTTGAATTTATCTTTTATGGATAGGAATATTGTTTAACTGTTACCGCATAACTATGGTAATAACATAGAAAAGTGTCGCACAAATTGGTATTGCACATAAACTAAGAGTAAAAAAATGTATATTTTTCTGTAACACAATTTTGTGTGGATTTGTATCCTGCGGCAGCTCTTTTTTGAACATTTTTGCGCGAGGTAGCGTCGCTAAAAATCGATCTAGAAGCCAATCGGGTCCGCTTTCACACCTAGATCAAGAAATATTCAAAGATCTAGGAAACAACAAATTCATGGATATATTTTTTAAAAGCCAAAGTTAAGTAGAAAAAGCACTAAAAAAATAAAAGTATGGGTTAGAAATGTTTCTGTATATAATGAAAACAGCCAATAAATTGTACCAAATAATGAATCATCCGTGGCATATGTTACTTTTTATTCTACCTGAAAGATGTGGTAAGTATGTGAATTAATGTGTCTCTTTCAATTCCTCGTGATGTGTAAAGAAATTCGGGTTTGCCGTCGGCGTCGACGAAGTTACTACAAGTGTGTGGGAAAACGTGAGACGCTTACCATCTCTGGCAATGCAAGCATGTGTTGACATAACAAAATATCTGAAGAATTAAGTCCTATATTTAATAAATACTTACTGAAAAGGCAATTTCTGATTTTGTATGATTCCATTTCCGTGGTCTAAGCGAGGTCTTAGGGCTCACGCACAAACTAGCTAAAAGCGGGGCTGAAACAGCACTCTGATAAAAGCAAACATGGCTTGATCAATGGCAGAGCTTTCACTCCAGCTCAGCATGGTTTGAATGTACGCCACTTGCCCCGCTTTCAATCCCGCTTCCAGCTAGTGTGAGCTCGAGCCCTGCCTGGCTGTACAATGCTCTGGTGGCTTATACTTACGTTTGGGAATATTGGGAACTTGGGAATATTAATGAATAATATTAAAGTAGTAATTAAAAACTAAAGTAATGGTCTGTGCAGGTTTGAGAAGTTATAATGCACCGCTTTAAAACAAAAAAAATATGTTAAAATATTTGTAACAGAATAGTTTTGTACTCCTCCATTATCCGCTAATGCTGTTGAAGAATGATGGCCAAGATGCATACATTTCAAACAAAATCCATGAGAGAACAAAATCCAAACTCAAACGTAATTTCTACAAGTTATATTCGCAAGTCTCTCGAAGAGCGAAATGTGAGAGAACTTTCGGCAAGAAGCTTTAAAGCGAAGCTCTACGAGTACTCGCTGCCACTAGACGACGCAAAAAGCTTCGTTGATGCGACAGCTTTAGCATCCACTAACGGCAACACCAAAGGCAACGGTCACATGTCTCTCTCACTTTGGCTTGCTAACACTTAAAGTTACAGGAATTGGATTTCAAATTGTTATAATCGTTTATTTTTATCGTGCTAATTAGTAGTTTTTAGTTTTTGGTTTTTAGTTTTTGGTTTTAGTTTTACCGAATTATTGATTTATATGCTCTGTGGTATCTAAGTCTTTGTTTTTTTTTTATAATTAAGGAAGACTTTTGCTTGAAAGTGGCAACTTTTCTGCATGGCCAGTTATGCACGAGTATGTAGTCGCAAGTGTGTGTATGGGTGTACGAGCGCGAATGTGACTCCTTGGAGCACACTTTGGATTTGTTTTTATTTGCAACTGTTTAATAGATTAGAGATTATACGAATATACAAAAGCTTTAAGTACCTACAATATGCCTTGATTTAGTTCATTGATTTGATTTTTGTATGCATGCAAGTAGTTTCACGACTATATTGTCGTACATACAATATATGTAAATGTGTATGCATGCTTAGAATGCAAGTAGCACATACAATCACTTATCGCTTGTAAATATATACACACACACACACACACACACACACACACACACACGCACACATGCATATGTATGTATGCACGATTCTCGTCGCACACAGCTACACAGCTACACATCTATGAAAATGCCTTCTCCTCCATACGCAAATCGTTTATATTGATCGATTCTTAGTATATATGTATATTGTATATATATGTACATACATATTTGGTAAAAAGAAACATGTCAATGTGACACAATTAATGATAACCCGTTTATAGCGCAATATTTTGATCGGTTGAACAGATGGCGGAGTTTTGCCATCGATATCATCATCTGATGAATGTGATCTTACATCTTACAACGCCACGTAAGGGGAAGCGATACTCGCATAATTACTGCTAAGTATTTTATATGCTAACACAATTTTGTTTTGGCTATTAATGTTGGAGTCGCAGACGCTTGAAAAAAATATTTCTCCTATTGTTACCTGTTTATTTCTCATTTGATAAAATTCGTGGAGTTTAGTTTCTTTATTTTTACGCTATGCACGAATTTTTGTTAACTCTTTGCTGTTTTAAAGTTCTTTGTTTTCGTTTTTTTTTTTTGTTTTTAAAAATCTTTATGACTAGCTGATAACTATGATACTATGTGTGTATGTATGCATGTATGTATGTAGGTGTTTAAGAGTGTTATGTAAATATCTATAATTCGTTTTTATATATGTCCGAGTATGTATATTTTCCTATCCTTCGCTCTATATTTGTGATATACATACATATGTACGCGGATACATACTTCTGTATGTATTTACATGTGTATTTATGTATGTATGTATAATCGTTTAGTTTGGTTCATATTGGGGTTTTTGTTTTTAAGTAAACTTTACTCTCTATACTACGCCTTTTGTTTCCATTGCTTTTCATTTGAATTTAAAAATAGTTAACTTTATACTTTGTTTTCAACATTTTCCACGTTTATACCTCCTTTTCTTTTGCTATTTTGTTGCTTTCTTATTTCTCGTATCCCTTTTACATGTCC